CTCACCTCATACTTAACTTACGGCCTCGCAGCGCGTCGCTGAGGCGGCCCCCGAGCGCCCGTGGGAGCAGGGCAGCCCCAAAGGGGAAAGCGAGGGGTGACCGTGTCTACGGGCTTTCTGCAACCCAGGGACATTGCAGCTCTCTGGCTCTTGAGCCTTTTTGCTACTCGTTTTCCGCTGCATCTCAGTCAGAAAAAGGAGCAGGGCTTAGTTGGCCTGTAGCAGCCCAGAGCACCCTGGGTGCTGAAGAGGCCACAGCTGGAGGCCCTTGGGCTGTGGTGCGCGCACGTGCGCTGCCGCGATCGTCTTTGCTTCTCGCTGATGCCAGTGGAAGAATAAAGGAAGCAACAGGGAGACGTCAGTGTGTTGGTTTTCTGGATCTTTGACGGGGGGGCTGTGTTGTCCGGTTTTGGATGCGGGATGGATTTTTGGTTTATTCATTTTGCTCAAATGCAGTTTGCGTTTTACTCTGTGAGATAGAAGAGCATTTTTGCTGATGTTATTTGGAATTGTTTTCACATGGTTTCAGATCTTCAGTACAGCCTCAGCTGTAACGCTATTTTTTCCACCCATTTTTATTAGTATTTCTAAGTCCTTATTACGAGATGATCCCTTTTTTTTTCCTTTTGTTATTTAAATTAATGTCACAGGTTGAAAGGAAAATAACGTTGCAATTCTGCATCGTGTTCCTTCAGCAGTGACTGCGGATCAAACAGCACATCCGTAGCTTCTGGTGACGTAGAGCAGTTTGGGAACGCAGAAATTGCAAGATTAAAGCAGATACGTCCTTCTGATGGAGCAGCCCATCCATGACAATACCAAAAGCTTCAGGAATAAGTGCCAGAATCCCTTCATAATTACGGAACAAACTGCCATGCAGTAAAACCTCAGAAACTTCACTGTCCTTTTTTGATACAGGAGATCACGTCTTCCACGTATATTTTCAATATTTTTTTTCCTGCATCTTTTAACTTCAGATCTTAAAAAATATAATGAGAGGAAACTTGCAATACCAACACCAATAAAA